TTGTTGCCCAGGCTGGAGTGCAATGGCGCGATCTCGGCTCACCGCAACCTCCGCCCCCTGGGTTCAGGCAATTCTCCTGCCTCAGCCTCCTGAGTAGCTGGGATTACAGGCACGCGCCACCATGCCCAGCTAATTTTTTGTAGTTTTAGTAGAGACGGGGTTTCACCGTGTTGACCAGGATGGTCTCGATCTCTTGACCTCGTGATCCACCCGCCTCGGCCTCCCAAAGTGCTGGGATTACAGGTTTGAGCCACCATGCCCGGCCTAATTTTTGTATTTTCAGTAGAGACAGCGTTTCACCATGTTGGCCACTCCACTTCCAAATCTCTGGTTATCTTTCATAGTTACATGGCAGTCAACAAGTATTTCTGGAGAATTTACAATGTGAAAGTCATCAATTTACAAGAATTATAGTGAAAAATAAGGATGGACAAAAAATTGGACATTTTCCTCAAAAACTTTTGGGAAATAACGTGGGATACATACAGAAAAAATGAACTAATTTTCCAAAGAAGTGAATAATGAATGTCAATCAAACGATAAAGACAGCCATTGAAACAAGATTTCAAAGAGTAATAAGACTACTACACACTGGATTTGTTAGAAAAGACATAAACCAGACCTTGACAGGTGGATAGGATTTGGATGCAAAGACAAGAATTTCAAAAGGAGCCTTTTTTTAAAATAACTGCTCAGTTTTCTGCTTACACTCTAGGTACCTTCAGTAGTCAAATTCAGAGAGTAGAATGGTGGTTGCTGGGAGTGGAAGGAGACAAGAATGAGAAGTGAGTGTTCAATGGGCACAGAGTTTCAGTCTGGGACAATGAAAAGTTCTGGAGATGGATGGTGATGACAGCTGTAAAACGATGTAAATATACTTAATATCACAGAACTATATATTTAAAAATGGTTAAAATGATAAACGTTATGTGTATTTTACCACAATAAAAGAAAAGTGATTAGCTGGAATGGCAAGTTTACCTTAGTGATAAGGTCAGAGGGGTAGATTCTGCTTTCTAAGGCTATACAAAGTAAGTCTCATTCTTTTGTTGAATGTCAGCCTTCGAATACTGCCACCTTAGCCTCTTCAGCTGATTTCTTTTTTCCAGGTCAAATGTCTCCAGTAAAAATTTTACCTGTGCATTTTTCAGAACTTTGTGATCCTCTGAGTGTTTCAGGATGTTTTTTTTCCTTTTCCTTTTTTTTTTTTTTTTTTTTTTTTTTTTTGGAGGGCAAGGGGATGGGAAGAGGAAAGATTCTATAGCTCCTCCTCTACAGGCTCCTTGAGGGCAGGGACCATTTCTTTACTTATTTAGTTTAAGCTCCTTGGTGCTCAGCAAAGAGTATGGTACAAATTAGGTTCAATAAATACCTGCGGATTGAATGAAAATACTGACAGTAAAGGCTATTAATAATGCAACCCACACGATCTCCAGCACTGACAAATCCTGGCAAGGCTCACTGTGACACTTTTCCTTAACCCTCTATAGACTAATTATTGAGATTTGTAAACCTAAGATTGCTTTCCCCAGGATTCTTGCACAGAGGACAGGGTGACAGAGAAGCAACAAATATTCAAGGCAATCATTTTTTCTTAATCATCTTCTAAGATGGGCCAATGAGAACAAGATGACCGGCGTCGCTGCTTAAGAAAGGAGAGAACAGATTCCACGGTGATGGGAGCTTGAGTCAGCCCATCTCTGAGATTCAGGCGCCAACGGGAAGGCCTGAGGGGCCATGCTGGGGGTGGCCCAAAGCCCAGGGCCATCTTTCTCCAGGTCAGGAGTGTGGAGGTGGAAACGGTCCCTGAGCGACCTCAGAGGGCCGAGGGCGGCGCGAAGGGAGGCCCTCGGATGCTCCGGCCCGGTTCTGACAGGCCATCATCAGGGACAGACAGTTCCCCTCCCCGCCCAAGCCGGCGCAGCCCAAAAGGAGGCGCGGCCCATGCTCAGCGCACCTTTTGCCTCTCCTTCTTCTGGCTCTCGGACTCCTCCAAGGGTGCTTCCAGCTCCATAATGTCCCCCCAGAGGAGTTTCCCAGGCATTACTGGCCACCGCCGCCTCCCTCCGGGCACAGTGACCACAACCACCTACGGGCAGCGACAACGTGAAAGGAAGCGAGGGCAGGGCGGCCGCCCGGCCTTGGCCGTGCGTCATTTCCGGGACACGCACCGCACGGCGGGGAAAAATAATCCCGGATACTCTCAGTTTAAGTCCTTCCATTGCGCTCAAGCCTCTCAACCAATGAGTGCGAGAGATCTCGACCAGCCCACCCTTGTTATTAAGTGATTGGTTACTAGAGTAAAATCCTGGCCAATCTCCATAAAGGAAGCACGCGCTAATTAGCATAAATAGTTCGGATTCTCTTCCCCCACCCCCACACCTAACTAGTCTCCTCGGCCCCGCAGAGCCTTTTGGGGGCTTCACAGTATGCACTGCTAGGGCTGGGAAGCCCTTCAACGGCGGCCGACAGGGCCTCTCGCGCGGCGGGCGGATGCATGCGTGAGCAGGCCCGTGCTGAGGCCAGTGGGCAACGCCACGCGCCGCCTCGCCATTTGCCGCCGGAAGCTGAAGCCCTCCGCCCCGCCCATTTCGGGGGAGGCGTTAACGACCAAAGGGTTTGCGCGAGGCCACAGGCCTGGCGTCGGTGGAGGGGGCTTTGCGCTGTGTGGGGTGGGCCAGATGGGCCCGAGGTGTCGCCGGGAACAGACAAACGTCCGTCCCTGAAGTCTTAGGTTTTAACCATGAAGTTGCTGCCTGGTTCATTGTGATCCTTCTCATGGCTCTGCCTTTGACCTAGAGGAAACGAAACGGGAGAAAGGAATGTACTTGGCTGAAGTCACACGGTCTGTTAGTGGCACGGTCAGAACTAGAGAATTTAGCTCCTGAAGCCGAGATCACTGCTTTCTCTGCTACATCAATCTGAAAACTTTTGAGTTTTGCAGTGTTTGGGGGAAGATGCGCCCATGAAACAAGGAATAGGAAAAACCTGAAGAAACCTCACATTTTCTGCTAGTGACAAGAGCCAAAGTGTCTTCGACAGATTTATCTATTTGCAGTGAATTAAAAAAGGATTTAATTTTACCGATGGGGATTAGCTGCCCGTGAATCACAACCTTACACAAAACTGAAACCTTTGACAATACAAAGGGTAACTTCTTCCTTAGTGTTTGTATACCTTTGCTTACTATCACCGTCACTAGTTGGCTTTTCAAAGCCATTTCTTTATCTCTTCATGATCCTTTCGATCCAGCTACTTTACCCAATGGAGACACAGGGCTACTCTCATAAACCACTTGATAATGTCTAGCACACCAGTCTTACAACCTAAGCATCAAACTGTGTCTTAGCAAAATTACAAATTGTTACATGTCGTGGAGTTTGGGAATTGGTCCTGAATAGCTGGAACCACAAATGGTAAATCTGTGATTACTTCAAGCGTTCTGCATAATTATGGCTTGGCCTGAAGGCAAGGGCTATATGTTTTTATATAACTTTATGGATTCAATACTTACGAACACAAGGAGTGTTCATCTGTTGATGACAGAGAAATGCACCTCTCTTCCTAGGCTATGAGAATAGCTATGCATCTCTAGATCTGCAGTTTTCTACATCCTTTTGTCCTAATCCCTCAGTCCACTCCCAATTCTACCATAGTAAGGTCTTTATAGCCCTACAACAGGGTATGACGATGTGCATAAAAACACAGTGTAGATATGGCTAAGAATGTCGCACGTAAAATTGGGATAAAAGAAACAGATGTTATTGTGATTGAAGTTGAATAACAGACGAAGTAAAAGTCGAGCTTCTGGGCAGTCTTTGGGATTCATTTGTATGTCAGAGGTCCTAAGAACAGGTCTGAAAAACAAAGGAGTAGACTGTTTAAATCTCCCTATTCAAGTGACTAACAAGTATAGTAGTGTTTTAGAATGACCTGTGACTCCCAGCACTACAAACTCTGCCTTTCTAAGCCCCAAATTTGCTGAACCAAATCTCTGGCTGCTGTCTGTGTCTGTGTCAGGTGGAAAGGACAAGTATAAACTGATGTGTCAGTAATTTGGCCAAGGAGTGACTTAGATGAAAAAAAATATGTGTACCACATTACACATGTGTTCTCTGGGGATATCATTTTGCCTCAACTAGAAAACTTGGGAATGGGATGCAGGAATGGAGAACTGTCTTCATATTTGCTCCCTCTGTAAATCTCAAGAAATAGTGTCTGATGATGAGATCTGGGGTTGGGGGAAGCATACTGTGCATGAATAATTAAAATGCACAATAATTCAAGATATAATCTTACTAGAATAACTTTATTTTCCAAACATTTTACCAGAGTCACCGATATACTTTCTTTTACAAAACTTTAAGAGTTGGATGCTTCATCTGCTACTCCTTGTTACAAGGTCCTATAAAGATTTCCCTTGCCCTTAGCGTTAGCTTATTTAAACTGACCATTAATATATAAAAACAAGATGACTATTTCCAGACTTGCTTCTCTCTAATCTTTTTAGAACTATAGGGCTACATTATTTTTACTCCGAAGTTAGACAGTTGAAGGTAAAAGCCATCAAATAACCTTTTTGCATCTGCACATCAATCTTATGTTACAAGAGGAATTGAACCGTTTTTCTTTATCTGCAGCAGCTTTGTCATGAACCATCATTTTTAAATGCCGTGACATGGAAATAGTTTAAGGGGCAGTTAAAAACTGATTTAGGGCACACTGAGGGCACATAATGAGTGTTGAAAAGGAAAAGCAGAAAGAAACTAAAGGCAAAGATAATAGGAGAAAAGAGGAAGGTATTCTTCCCATTGCCATGGGACCTAAACCAAGTCAATTTTAAAACTGTGCTAGTAAAGTGAGGAGAGTAATGCTGACAGCGCAGGAGATTGGATCCACTGACACAACAGCACCATGGAAATGAGGTACAGAAGTGCCTACATCAGCTTGAGGTTTTGACAGCATTGGAAAGGAGACATCTTTGAGCACATTTATCTTATGTACATTTATGCATGTATCTAGTTCCTAATTCAAACCTTTAAATGATGTTTTCAGTGCTTAACCTTTGGTTTCATTGTTTCTTTAGTCAGTTACTTTCTAGATGTTTTGAACCAAGTGGTAGGAGAGGGTTTCAGAGTCACATCAGTTACCCCAGAAGAGGGCACCATTACCCAAGTAACATTTGGAAACTGCTTCTGCTTAAAGAGGAAAAAAATGTTACTAAGGTTTCAAAGGGGAGAAAGTTCTGTAAGACACCAGCAAACTAATCATGACTTTGTCTTTGATGTCCCCATTCTTATTTCATGACACTCATATCTCTCTTCCCTACCCCTGTTAAGCAATAGCCTGTTTTCCCAACACCCAAAAAGCTTTAGGCAGCTGTAGATACTCAAAATGCCATGGTTCCCAATCTTTTCCCTTCTACAGGCTCTTTTCATTGCTATTCCTCATAGACTTGACATTTTGGTTTGCGGTGTGTGTGTGTGTGTGTGTGTGTGTGTGTGTGTGTGTGTTTGCATGCGCACATGCGCATCACTACATGAAAAAAGATTTGGGGCCAGGCGCAGTGGCTCACACCTGTGAGCACTTTGGGAGGCTGAGGTTGGTGGATCACCTGAGGTCAGGAGTTCAAGACCAGCCTGGCCAACATGGCAAAACCCCATCTCTATTAAAAGTACAAAAATTGGGCCGGGCGCGGTGGCTCAAGCCTGTAATCCCAGCACTGTGGGAGGCCGAGGCGGGTGGATCACGAGGTCAAGAGATCGAGACCATCCTGGTCAACATGGTGAAACCCCGTCTCTACTAAAAATACAAAAAATTAGCTGGGCATGGTGGTGCGTGCCTGTAGTCCCAGCTACTCAGGAGGCTGAGGCAGGAGAATTGCCTGAATCCAGGAGGCGGAGGTTGCGGTGAGCTGAGATCGCGCCATTGCACTCCAGCCTGGGTAACATGAGTGAAACTCCGTCTCAAAAAAAAAAAAAAAGTACAAAAATTAGCACTTTGGGAGGCCAAGGCAGGTGGATCACGAGAGCAGGAGTTCGAGACCAGCCTGGCCAAGATAGTGAAACTCCATCTCTACTAAAAATACAAAAAAAATCCCAAAAAATTAGCCAGGCACGGTGGCAGGTGCCTGTAATCCCACTACTCGGGAGGCTGAGACAGAAGAATCATTTGAACCTGGGAGGCAGAGGTTGCAGTGAGCTGAGATCGTGCCACTGCACTCTAGCCTAGGCAACAGAGCAAGACTTCGTCTCAAAAGAAAAAAAAAAAAAAAAAAAAAAGACCTGAAGCCATTCCACAGCCACGCCTGCAAGTGGGGTTACTCAGGCCTATATTGGGCACTTTTGATAGATCATCTCCAAGCCTCACAACAATCTTGTAAGGGAAACATCATTCCTATCTCCCTTTTGCAGATGAGATAACCAATTCAGAGGATTTGGTGACTTGCTCCACCATACAGCTACCAAGGATTTGGAATTCAAACTTGTGTCTTAATCCTAAGCTCAGGTCATTAAGCTGCCTCAAGAAAACAGTTTTCTCATTAGAGAATAGACTGCATTAGGAAAGAGAAATCCAGAACTAAAGTTGCCACAAAAGGCAGTCATTATTGGGGAGAATAATGCAGGTCACCTGTTTTAAAGAATAATCTTCCAAACAACAATTTAATCGCATATATTCCCATCTTTAATGTCTGTGTTATATCATGAGTTTCATAGGAGAAAAGTTTACTGGTTTCATAATGAGCTCGATTTATTTAATACATGGAGAGTGTCCTAATGCATCCAGTGGCAAAATCAGATGGATTTCATTAGTACCTAGATGCGGCTAAAGCCAGAAAAGACTTTGGATTCCTGACTCTACTATGAAACTTGTTCCGTCCAAAAATCAAAGATGGGCTGGGCGTGGTGGCATTGCCTGTAATCCCAGCACTTTGGGAGGCCAAGGCAGTGGATCACCTGAGGTCAGGAGTTTGAGACCAGCCTGGTCAACATGGCAAAACCGTATCTCTACTAAAAATACAAAAATTAGCCAGGCATGGTGGTGTGCGCCTATAATCCCAGCTACTCGGGAAGCTGAGGCAGGAGAATCCTTTGAAGCTGGGAGGTGGAAGCTTCAGTGAGCCGAGGTTGTGCCACTGCACTCCGGCCTGGGCAACACAGACTACATCTCACAAAAATCAAAAAAAAAAAAAAAAAATCAAAGATGAAACAGTTGTCGGTTGACAACTTTTTCCAAGGGTTGTCAGGGATAGGTCCAGAGATAGAGGGCTGGAAATAATACTCAAGAATCTTGCATCAGTTCAATATTTCACATGAGCCTCACTAAACCTTAGAAGTATAAAATCTTACAGTTGGGACCATGCACAGTGGCTCACACCTGTAATCTCAGCACTTTGGGAAGCCAAGGTGGGTGGATCGCTTGAGCCCAGGAGTTCGAGACCAGCCTAGGCAACATGGCAAAAACCCATCTCAAAAAAAAAACCCCACCAAAAAAACCTTACAGTTGGAAGGATTCTTCAAAATTATATAGTTCAGCCAACCAGTTAAGCTAAATTCTAGAAATTGTAACATATTAGTAAAGGGATCACCAAATCTCTGCTTGAATGCCCTAAACAATAGGAAATTCATTCTTTTCCAAAGCTGCTTACTTCATCTTCAGATAGCTTTGTCTAATAGAAAATTCTTTCACGCCTGTAATCCCAGTACTTTAGGAGGCTGAGGCAGGCAGAACACGAGGTCAAGAGATCGAGACCATACTGGCCAACATGGTGAAAACCCGTCTCTAATAAAAATAAAAAAATTAGCTGGGCATGGTGACGTGCACCTGTAGTCCCAGCTACTCAGGAGGCTAAGGCAGGAGAATCGCTTGAACCGGGGAGAGGGGGCGGAGGTTGCAGTAAGCTGAGATCATGCCACTGCACTCTAGCCTGGCAACAGCGAGACTGTCTCAAAAAAAAGAAAATTCTACCAGGCACAGTGGCTCACACCTGTAATCCCAGCACCTTGGGAGGCCCAGGCAGGATGATTGCTTGAGGACAGGAGTTCAAGACCAGCCTGGGTAACACAATGAGATCCTGTCTCTACAAAAAATAAAATTAGCCAAGCCTGGTGGCTTACATCTATAGTCCCAGCTACTCAGAAGGCTAAGGTAGGAGGATCACTTGAGTCCAGGAGGGCAAGGCTGCAGTATGCTGTGATCACCACACTGCACTCCAGACTGGATGACAGAGACCCCATCTCAAAAAGAAAATTTTTTTTTCATTGTTAAAATCTTTCCCTTAATTTCCATTCACTGGTGCTGATTCCATGCTGTAAGACCCCCTAAAACAATACTCTCACCTCTACTCCCCCTACAAGTCTTTTCTGTACCAGATTACCCACGTTTCTTGGTACTTGGAGCAGGGTTTACACTGTCTTTGTGACAACAATCTTCTCAGAATGTAGTGGTATGTCAGTTGGGATCCACTGA